TCTGGCGCTCATTTCACAAGTTTTCCAGACTTCTGGAAGTTTGCCGCCACTGGACGCCTGAAGTCCGTTTCCACGGGAGAAGTGGAAGGGCGAACGGGGTTTGAGCGCTCGAGCGCGGACTCACGCGCGGCACGGACGGTCCCCTGATTTCATATTGCACCCCAGCTGTGGAGTTGGCCGGTGCGGGCGAACCGTGCGCTGCGGCGACTGATATCTCTGATACCGGTGGATCGATTCACCCTGTCTGACCATAAGCGGCGGTATGACGGCAATGCCGCTCTGCATTTCCGGGTACGGCGTCGTGCAAACGCGTGCCCGGAAGCTTGACGTGCCTTCATGACAGATCAATAACAGACCATCTTTTTCTGAACGCTGTCACATTTGCAAGTGATCCTTTCACTCTAGTAGGAATGTGTTTTGATAGTAGTGCTTCACGAGGTTGGGTGGAGCGGTATGTCACACATATCGCGGCTTATAGCGTTGGCTAACGTCAGCATTGTGTTTACACCAAGTGCATGGAATGCGCTCGTGATGACGTAATCGATTCAGCCGTGAGCCGGCACCGTGGCCGGCTTTGTCTGTCGGCTGCCTTCACTGTTCCGCGCCAGGCACGTCAAGGACAGTGGCCGTGTCGGCCACGAGAAAATGCGCCGTTCAAGAGCACCATTAGCTGGCGCACCGAGTGTTTTTGTGTGCAAACTGCCGGCGAGCGGGCCGCGCGCCGCGGCGCCGGCAGAGGAGGGACCCCGGGGTGGCGATGACGTATGATGGTAGTCACCGCTGCTCTGCGGTGTGTAGCGCTGTATTGGGGCGGTCTGCAGGCGCCAGAGACTCGCAGCGGTGCTGAGGACCTCGACCTGTTGCATAATGGCGAGTGTTTGCGTCCCGCCGACCGGCCGGAGGTTGGCGAACCCTCGCGGTCGACCGCGGAGGCCAGTGCGCACTCTGGGTCACCGGGCGGAACAGCGCTGCGCATTGTGCGTGCAAGCTGGCAGTCATTACCAGGAGCCTAAGGGCGGTATCTGGGAGTGCACTGCGCAGGTTGTTACGAACTATGGAGGACGGCGTTTCTCGACCACTTTCCAGTTAGTTGATATTCGATTCAGCAGTGACTCGATTCGCCGGCGGACTGGTCCATCTTGATCAATGATCACCCTTTGGTACCGCTATCCTGGCTACAGACTCATTAGCATGTGCTTAGCTGCGAATCCATGCTCTCCCTCCAGTCGGCAGCGGACGGGGGAGGGCTGCCTGGGCGTTACGGCGCCGCCCCGCGCGGCGCTGGGGAGGGACCATAACTTGCACCCGGGGCAGGCCTGCACGGCTGCTGGAGCGACGGTCCGGCCCAGGCAGGGATCACACCGCTCAGCTGGGGGTGTGACTGGCGCGGCGCCGAAGGAAGATCCGGGACCGGGACTGGGTGGGCCAGCCGCAGGGGACGGTTTGGGAGAGCCGGTGGTACCCGGGGACTCCCCGTAATTAAAGTCCAGTCATATGACCTTCATTTGGGGGACCATGACCGTGGGTCTGTCTGATGTTGGAAGAACTACCGGAAACTGCCGGGGTCGCGCCAGAGTTTTCAGTGCAGCCTTTTGTCCACTGCCGCTCTCTGGTCATTAGCATTGGGATCTCGAGTCAGCGTCTTAGGTAGACTCCAGTATCAAACCTGCTGAGTGGTCTCAGGGCTGGACATTAACAGTTATCTCTTTGTCTTTGCATGGGGACATTTTTCCATACGGCCGGGCTGGGAACATTACCAGAGACCAGTCCCACGACCCGCCGGCACCGCTCTGTGGTTACACAACATTGCCGGAACTGCCGACGCCGGCGCGGATTGAAATGGCATCCGTTTGATTGATGGCCAATCGCCGGGGATGGCTATTTAATTTTGCATCAGAGTATTGTGAAATTTTGGTGTCCAAACCGGCTGCAGCCGTGTTCATTTTACGTCGGTTCTGTTCCCGTTAATTCTCTGCGCTTAACCTTCGCGATGAGACGGCGCGTCGAGTACGTCTACATTCGTCGCTATTACGTCCATTCCAAATTGTGACTAAATGTTCTGTTCTTGATCAGCGCAGCGTGTGCAACAGATTGCCTTCCACGCCCGAGACATGAGTCGACTAATGATAGCCGATATAGCAACGGCACGACCCCGCTTCTGCTGGCGTAACTCTGCTGTGTCGAAACACCTGTCTGGCCTTTTTTACCTGGGCGCCTGCGAGCTAGTCCGCCGTGCTCGACACCACGGCCACATGTGATAACAGCCACACCTGAACCGTGGCACGAAGAAAGCCGCCCGTCACTGGCTGTGAGGGCCCGGCCACACCGAACGACCGACGTTTGTCACAGCTAGGATCTGTGTATGCGTGAAGAAAGAGACTGTGTCCGTGTCCAGGGGACATCAGACAGCGGACAGTGTCTGCGTGAAGCGGTTTGTGTCCATGTCCGGCGGGCAGTAGACAATGGAAAGCTCCTGCGTGAAGCGGCTGTGTCCGCGGCCGGCGGAAATCAGATTGTGCAGCTTTATCGGACAATGTGGGCTGTGAGAGCGGCGTCACACGGTACCAGTGACGTCACGCTATACTGTGACGTCACAGGATATTGTGTCCGGTCGTTGTCTGTCGGGGAAGCCGCCAGGGAAGCCCTCGGCTGCTTGTACTGCCTCCGTCAGTCGGGTGATGCGGCGGTATTCCTGGCTCGATAGGTAGATAAATGGGATATATTTGTCACACAGACTGCTAGATAGACGAGGCGGACGGAAAAGATAGATGCGCGGGACGCTCGGACAACCTGGTGGAGAGACCAGCTACAAAACAGAACATAAAATATTAATAAAATATGCGAGCGAAACTTGCATATCGCGCTTTGATCTACTCCACACCCATCGGTGCGCCTTTCTCAAGCTGTCACCAGCAACCAACCGGGCCTGTCGGGAACGGCTGCTGCAATGCAGATGCACCGTGGCGAATCTAACTCAACGATCACGACCGCAGCGTCGGCCGCTGCATGCATGCACTGCTAGCCGACAGTTTGTTTTCATTGCAAAGTGCAAGGACATATTGCGGTTTTATGACGGCGATGGCCTTTTTCCGTCCAGTGCTGAGTTTGTCGGACCAGGACCCCAGTTGTAGGCTGTAGCATCAGGACGAAGGACATGTTGAGACCCGACGTGTCCCCGCATAGCAATGCACTCGCGGCATTCACGCCAGGCTCTCTCCGAATGTTAGGCCCTCAGAACAATTCTTTGTTCTGTTCAGCGTGGGATTTTTCAGTTTGTTTTCTTCTCTTCGATCGCTGGAGCTGCGTCTTAGAGATTTAACCCGCGCCCTGGTGGGGTCTGTTTATAACGCGACCTGGTGGGGGGGGGGGGGCTATTTTTTGCCCCCCCTCGTATCTCCGAAACTACTGGACGGATCCGCAAAATTCAAACGGCGTTCGATAGCCCTGTCAAATTTGTCGAGGGAAACCAAATTTTATTGACCTCGGGGTCACCGATGACGTCACAGGTCAGGTCAAAGATAAAATGTTTCACCGTTTACGGGGCTTCTAGGGAAAGCGCTATAACACCGAGTAAAACGCATTTTGTCGAAAATCAGCGATAAGACGTCAGTTGTCTAGTACATATGTTGCTATTAGAGGTCACTGGTCATACCAGGTCAGGTCACAGGTCAGGTCACCAAAGGTCACCAAGGGTCACCACATGAACCCAACTTTACTAAGGTTGTGCGATGCATGTTTTATGGCCAGTTTTTCATTTCCAACCCAATGGTGTTGGTTATAAGACCATCAGGTACGGTTTAGGTCACTTTCTGGTGGAGGTCAGGTCAAGGTCAGGTAAAAAAAGGTCAAATTTCAAAGTTGATATTTTTGCATAAAATGGGTATCGATTCGATGCAGCTGGTCACGGGGAGTCTAATGGTGGTCTTTGTTTTGCACTACGAGGTCTAGAATTGCTAAAAATTGAGTTTGAAAATTTGACGTCATCAATTTTGAACAGTTTTTTCGCTATAACTTCGCCAAAAAAAGAGATATCAATCTAAAATTTGGTATGTGTATGGAAGGTGGTAAGGACTATCACATATATTCCGGTTTTTGCGAAATTCAAAAAACTTTTTGGATTTTTTGACTACTATATCCCAAAAATCTATTTTTTTTATTTTTGGGGGTCAAAATAAAAAAAATTCAAAAATCCGAGATAGCAGTTTTGTAGCCCTGTCAATTCTACAGCTTTTATGTCCTAAACATTTTTCTGTATTTGCAAAGCTATAGGCGTGACAGCTCTTCCCGCGAAACCCTTTTTTGGGTCGAAAACGGCAGAACATGACGTCACTCTGACGTCATTTCCGGCCAACCTATCATAGCTTTTGGAAAAATGTTTGGTCACAATGTGTAAAATTGATGTCCGGGAGGGTGCTGAAAGTTTGGTGACGATCGGCGCAGCGGTTCTGGAGATATATCGAAAAGTCTGGAGGGGGGGCAAAAAATAGCCCCCCCCCCCCCACCAGGGCGCGGGTTAAATGGAGCAAGGCAAGGCATTTATCTGGAACAATAGACGGGCTGATTGCATCAAAGTTCTTGGATCAGATCCATCTTCTCCGATCCCCGCGCATTAGCCGCCGTCTCTGTCGGATTGTTGGCAGTCAAGTTTGCGTAGTTGAGTGGTTACAGTGGCCTTTCATACACTCATCCCTTGAGGCATGTCTGGTGTTGATGTCATCGCGCCCCTTCAGTGTTTGTTGTGCGACGTAAGCCGTCACGGTCTTCGCCCGTTTGCAGCCGTGACGTGACGTGCGCCATATTCGTCTGCGCCGCGTCACCGCTGTCTGGCACCGTCTGGCATTTCCTGCTTCGGCTGGGCTGGGTCCGTTGTGTTGTCGGCTGTCCTGTCTGTATTGGTGACAGCGTTCTGTACATTATCTGTGGTGATGTTTACGGTTGTTGCATTGCAAGACTCGCTGACTGTGCTCTGTCCTCTGACCATTTTCCGTTGTTTGTTGCAGAAAATCGCCTTCGACGGCGGCGCGCAGTTCAAATTCAGCATATCGGCCAACCCAGACCAGGGCAGCTTCGAGTGTCTCCAGCAGAATGGCAGGTGAGTCTCTTCGCTACTCTCCCCGCGGCCATGGGGAGCGCCTGCCACTTCAGACGACATCGGTGGAGCCAGGGCCAAGGCTAGAGGTCTAACGCGACAGGAGGTTCTGGCGCCACATCCGGTACCGCGATCGTCCCTCCCCGCCCCCCCCCCATCCGCCGCCGCCGCTGTCGTGCTGCCAGTTTTGTCACTAATGCCGAGGTATGTCCGGTCCCGGGGCGCACGAAGGCGTCGGGCCATGACGGGGTGGCTCCCGACACGGGAGGTGCCGCGCGGCGCGCCAAAAACTGGCGGTGGCGCGGGTCAGTTTGCGCGCGCGCCTGTCACGCAGCGGGGTCGTGCCGCGCTCGCGCCGGCCCGGCGGCGGTTGCGGTCAGCGCGCGTGGGGAAAGCGCTGGCCAGTCGAACCGGACTGTGTTTCACTGGCCGGTAGATTTCGTTACTGGGGACTGGATAGGTGAATGGCGTAAAGGTCTGGTGATTGCGGACCGGCCGACAGGAAGGAAGGGTCCCGGAGATCTGACGGGTGTCTGGTTCCGGGGTGCCTGTCGGACCTCAGCGGATGTAGGATGTATAGAGGTGACCTCGGAAGAATGTGATGGCCTTGGCTAAGAATGAATGACGATGCTAGACCACAATCAGTGCTCGGGTTTCTGGTGATATATTGAATGTTTTTAAACTGATCGAAACTGCATAGGCGGTAGCCGCAACAGGTTTGGTGCACGTTGATGTGCCTCGTGACTCGCTGAAATAAACATGAAAGCTGTCTTTATTCATGGAAGCGAGACGTTGCAGGCTGACTCAGCATGCAGACTCATACTGCCGACTGTGGAAGCAGCAGTAGCAGAGAAGTGTACGCAGAATGCGTCTATTCCTCTTGAATCGGTTTCTTTGCTGGCGTTGGCCCGTACTGAATGGCTGAAGCGACTCAAATGAATTCCAGTGTGCGGTGACCGTTTCCGTTACGCCGCTTTGAGACGTGATGGTGCTACACGCCAGACCGTGACCAGACTAGGCCATGTCCATTTATCCCAAAATCTTTAGATATGGCGATCTCAAAACCATTGAGGGCTTTTTCTCTTGCTCCAGTTTCCTGGAAACTAGTTCGATTTGATCTCCAATCATCTATTTATACCGACCTCTTTCTATTTTTGGAGGTCAATCTGGGTCGTTCCCTTTAATGAGTCTGTTGTCTCGGTTTGTTATACGAGGCTAGTGCTACTTTTAGCTCATATTGATCAGTAGCGTTGGCTTATCCATCCCACCAACACTGGGTCTGCCGGCTGAGTCTCCCCGATAGTCAGATGAGCATTCTGGGCTCATCGGCTCATCGATAGACTGCTGGCTCAGAGCTCGGACACTGCGTGTCAAAGATAGTCAAACGAGTCCAAGAGAGAGTGAGAACAAGCGAGGGAGAGAGAAACGCCTTGGAATGTCAACAGTTTGACGCCAACGACAGGGACTTAGCGGAGGAGATTGCCAACGGTGCGTGCGTGCGTGCCTCGCCTCGCGCGCCGTTTGGCTGATGTAACCTCGTCGCCTCTGGCCGCGGCGGCGCACGGTGGGCCTCCTGACGGGCGACGGACGCTTCCTGAGACAAAAACTCGGTCCGATCCGGTCCGTCCGAGGGTCATGCGCTGAATCCGTGGACCTCTCTCCAAGGACCGTGGCCCTGACGCGGCGAAGGGCATCGGGGGTCGGTCGGCACAGAGAGAGCGGCCAACTATTTAGTGTCAAACTGTACCGGTGTGATTTATAGTGTATCAGAGCGTCTTTCGGTGGGTTGGATGGATGGCTTGTCATTTCACCGCTCATTCGGAATGAAGAGGCCCGACATGCCTGCCGTCAAAAGGGTCAAGTGGTGCTGTCTAGATGCACCAAATGAAGTCAAGCCATTCGAAGAAATGAGGAAAAATAGCTACATGAACAAATGCTAACGAAAACGAAGTCTGATAGGGTCCGGGCTCAGAATGTTGCGGTTTGCGCTGACTGATCTGTGCGTGTGCGTGTGCGTGTGCGTCGGATCCGTGATCCGACTCTGATCGGCCCCGGGCGTGGGCGTGACGCCCGGTCACGACCCGCGTCACGCCTGTGACATCACACCCGGAGCTGCGCGTGCGGCTGTGACGTCACGCCGTGGGGCTGCACGTGACCCGGGCGGCCCGTGTCGGCCGCCGCTCAGACTTCAGTAATGTGGCTGGGAACCCTGACAAGGGCGAAAAGAGCCGGGCCGGGCGTCCGACCAACAGGGCCTCAAATTTGGAATTCGGCCCGAAAAACCGGTTTTCTCCATGTGCCTCGGCCAGAATGCCGTCCGATGGTGTTTTTGCTGCGGGCCCATTTCTAAAATAGTAGACGACATGACGTTTTCGTTGGTTGTGCGTCACCAGAAGCCTGTGGAGGACGGCTCGGGTCTGTTCACAGTCCCCTGCGGTCAGGACGGCTCTGTGGTTTCGGCCGTGCGCGTCCCTCGCGTTCCCTCGCCACAGCCCGCGGCGCCCAATTCTCGGAGACATCGGGCTGGCGACGGAAAATCCGCGCCGCGCCGCCGTGCGCACCTCAAGGTCGAGCTGTCCGGTCCTGACCGACCCCCCCCCCTCCCCGCCCCCTCCCTCCGGCCGATCGCGCCAGGCTCCCCAGGCCTGAGCGGCTCGGCTCGGCTGGGCGATGAGGACTGACAGAGGTGAAGACGTTTTCCTTATTGCGTGAGCTGGAATTGGGGAAGGTTATCGGTGATGGCCGCGTTTGACAAGAACGTGAGAGTGTCGTTAGGAATATCAGTAGCGCGATGAATAAAAGCTGTTTTTAACTGGTGTCACCGACGAAATGAACTGCCCTGTTGTTCTTCTCTTTCGTTTTACATTTGACAGCCACGCGTGATCTATCGCAGTACTGGTCGTGCCCCGTGAGCCTGGACCAGCTCTTCTGTTAGTTTCTCGTCTCATGTTCTAATTGCCTACAATTTGTCACTCGCGATATCGCTTCACACTTGTCGGCTGTTCGTGCTCGCCGCGCACCGTATCCTTTTACCGAACGTGCCGCGTGAGCCTTTTCGGACTTTTCTCACCAGTTTCCAGTGTCGCTATTCTGAGTGTTTTTAGATGGACAACCGAATTGTTCTCTTTGTGCCCGCGGCGGCTCCTCGAGTCGCTGCGGGCAGTCTCCACTTGAACGCCACCGGGTACAGTCCTCGGTGGCGGTGCGCGGCTCCGCCGGCGCCCCGATGTGCGCCGGTGTAGTGAACCCGTGACGGAATCGTGCGCGATTCCGACGGCACCCCCAGCGGGTTGCCAACGTGAACAGTGACGGAGTCGTGCCACCGAGCACGATTCCGAGGGCACCCCCGTTCGTGTGCCCAGTGAACGCCACTGAGCCCAGCTCAGTGGCAGTGCGCGAATTCGCCGGCGCCCCGACGAGCGCCGGCGTATTGCAGTGCAGTGAACGGCTTTGACGGCGCCCCGTCCGCGGCGGCGCCGATGTGTCATCTGAACTCTGAACAGTGAACTTCATCGACAGTGCTCACTGTGTTTTTCTCTGGTCCACCTGTCTACTCTGCGCTCCTCATTTCACCCTCGTCTACCGTTCGTCATCATCTATCGTCCGGATTTCTTCAATACATTCTTCAAAATTCATCGAAGTTTTTCCTCCGCTACAATAAATGTCCCGGCCCCCATCAGAGGCTCGTCAGGGTCGGCGACATTTAATGGTCCTCCGGGCCGGATCAGGCCAGAAGAAATCAGAAGCGGAGGAAACTTCATCGAAAATGGAAAAACAAGAAGGGAGACCGCAAAGTGAAGGCGCTGTCGGCGGAGTTCCTGTGACGATAGAAACTGAAGAAACCATGGAGGTTTCGACGCTGCAGCAGCCGCGCCCTGAGGTGAGTTCCAGTTCGTCAGCATCCCGCGCATCCGCTGAGGCTCAGCTCACGGCGCGAAAAAGGGCTCTGCATGTGAAACAGTTGGAAAAACGACTGGAGATGGAGCGACAGGAAGCGGAGCGAAAGCAGCAACAAGAAGAGAAGTTGAGGCGGCAGCAAGAGGAGTTGAAGCGTCATGAAGATGAAGTGAGAAGACGACGTGAGCTGCAAATCGCAAAAGATGAAATGGAACAAGCTGCACTAGAGGCACAATGGCGACAGCAGATGAATGATCGACGAAACGCCGGCAGAAGGGACGACTTCATGAAAGCTGAACGGGAAGGACAGCGAACGGTTACTACGAGACTCCCGCAGTCCGAAATATCATTCCACTGTCCTCTCCCTCTCCCTGCTAGCCCCGTCCCAGCTAGCCCTCAGATCAGCAGACCATCGTGGATCGACGAGTTACCCAAAGATAGGATACCGGCGTCAGAAAGTGTCCAGAAGTTGAAAGTTACGGACAGCCAGAAAGTGACAACCAGATGGATCTCCATCGCTACTGCCCAGGTACTTGGCATCTCATTCGACAACCAGCTACCCGCTGGGCCAGACCTGCTGAGCTCGGAAAAAGAACTCGCTAGCAACAAGAACCTGAAAGAGGTGACTCAAGAATCCTGCTCGAAAGAAGGACGCCTCCGAAAAGTGAACCCAGGTGAAACAGCTGAGGCAGCAAAATCCCTGCAGCATCCCTCAGCCAGAAAACCGAGCGAAGACCCGGAAATCCAGGTGATCTCCGACTCCGACGCTGCTGCCCAGGTGCTTGGCGCCTCGTGCAACAATCGACCACTCGCTGAGTCAGACATGCGGAAAAGTCAAACTGACGTCCCGCAACGATTCCAGGAAAGGGCTGTGGCCTGCGTAGCGGATATCCAGGAGACGGCTGATCAGAAACAGTTCATCCGACAAGAAAGAACGGCTCAAAACCGCCTCTCGCCTGACCTGAACGACGGACAAAAATCAGACCAGAACGAGAAGGAAGAAAACGTCTTCAAAACCGAATCGTGGCTGGCGTCCGCTGACCTTGTGCCGCAGAAAACAGTCACCGATCATGATGCAGATGCACAAGTCAAACTGAAGACAGAGA